TTTGCATCGGCACACATCCTTTCGTCTGTCCATTTTTCTCTTCGTCTCCATCCATCCACTCATCCACACCTCTATACACCCACATTTATCCCAGTCTGGACACATGAACACCCTCTGTTCATCCACGTATACATAAACAACCGCGTCTCTTCTCATACAGCTGTACATGCCCACATCGGTATCATCATAGCCAAGCCTTCAGACATACACACATCCGAGCAAACATCCGTCCATACATGCCTAACGCGTCTATCCACACGACGATACATACAGAAATCCGTCCAATTAGGCATCCGTACATTCAAGAGTGCTCACCTCCACATGTCTGTACAATAGTCGAACCATCACGTCACATGACGTCTTCTGATTTCCCGTATCGTCATGCTGGATTAGCCTTGTCCGTCGTGTTAGCACTCAGTTTCTCCCTACTCCCGTCCACCCCCATCCACCCACCTCAAAAAGAGGCAATTACTGTGGCCACTCTGCTCCCCTTTCCCAACAAGATCGTCTTCACGTCGTGTCGACGGTGTGGCCTGGGCACAAGGAGCGCTGATTGGGAGATACCAATTGTAAATTGCCAGTTTCGGGTTGCCCTGACTGCCGGAATAGCGTGGCCTCTTGTTGCTGGTCGCAGTGACGCGACACCCGAAACCGTGAACCGTTAAAAAAGGCCAATGTTGCAGAAAGGAGAGCATAATTTACAGAAATGGTTGGTGAAAGACGTAGCGTAAGCATGAAATAAAAAGAAAAGAGTGACAAACTGCAAGAATGCATGTTATTATATATGAATAAATAAATAAATAATTATTTATATCTCACATATATAATCTGCTGGTAATCTCGAAAGCCTACTTAAAAACAAAACGTAAGTAATATGGTCTGTTGTTGCGGCAAATACAATTCTGTTTCATCGACAATCCCACCACAGAATGTTAAATGTAAGTTCACATCTGCCCTATGACACACGGGCACTCATGGCAAAGTGGAAACTGCAGTCCACTTCAGCTTGGATCAGAATAGCTTCCGGGAAAAAAGGTTGTGCAAAATTATGTGGAAACGTAACTAACATTCAGTCATCAGCTTAAGCGAAATAGAATAAACGCATCGCATAAATATTTAGATTTAGATATAAGATTACACACACACACATACACACAGAGAGACACAGACAAACTCAATTAAAAGCTCAATTAAATTACTTTGTATCCATCTATGATTATATTTTTTGTCTTTTAGTCATGAACAACTATAACAAATAAGATGGACCCGGATCGTGATCTTGACTGCGCTAAATTGTCACTTTTGCAAAAATGAGTTTCACTTGATCTACAAATCTCTTATTCACACGAACTGCCCTTCGCGCCAACAAGAATGTAACATCTGCCCCGGATCCATTCATTCGGTCGTCTGTATTTGAGGCAGGCCAGTCGGACAGCGACTGATAGCGAGTCTGCTTCCACCGAATAACCGGTTTTCGTCCACTCTCGGCCAATCAGGAAGGCCCGATTCGAGTCCCTCTTGCCGGGACTCGAGCTCGTCCCGGGCCATCCTCAAAAAAGGGACTCTTCTAACCTGCCTCTTTGCAGGTCCATTTTTCTACAGTCACGAATACTTGCTCAACCGTTCAGCCCCACGTCTATCCAACCATCCATTCATCCACCTTCACACCCGGCCATCGCCTACTCAGCCAACTCACTCATCCATCCGTCAGTCCATCGATGCATGCGAAGACATGAGGACAGTTTCCTTTTCCCTTTGCCTCAAACTGCAATCTTATGGCTTAATTTATGCTTTTGCTTCATTTTGATCATAAGAGCCGCGGCGTTTATGCTCACAGTCTGTCTGCGTTTTGCCCACATATGCTCACACATTTAATTTATTTGCCTCATCGGCAGCATGTGATCCTCAAGTAGGCCTGGGCAGGGATGCGACGAGGTGAGCCGGTTCACTGGCCGAGACAACCCGAAGGCCTGACAGCAGACTCGTTCGTCTGCCTGCCGGACTCCCTGGCTGACTTGGCCTCTCAATGAGCCACATTAATTGTGCCCATTTGTGCGTGTGTCTATGTGTCTATGTGTATGTGTGTGTGTGTGTGT